ACTGAGTCCTTACTATTTCTTAATTGACCCCAAACTTCTTATTTATAAAAATTTCCAAGTAAATGTAGATGGATTCAGGTACCCATATGTTTGAACATATCTTTAGAATGGTATTTTCTTGAAAGTTTTCTTCAGTTCAAATGTGTCTTCTATTGGTCTGAGAACAAGATTAGTAGTCAGGATGATCTGAGATCTAGTTTTGACTGTGATATAAATACTTTGTATATTACAGTGGTTTTGAGTATCTATGGCTTCTGAAATGTGATGGAAATTTACCTTTAAAAATTTCATTTTCCTCAGTACGCTTGTGTTAATTTTTTAAAAATCTAAGTCAAAGCAGAAGAGTGTTTTTCTTCAAGGAAAAATACAAATGAATGTCAAAGACTTTCAAGCTATTTAGTTCCATTACTGAAATCAGAGCCATCAAAGCAGAATAGCTGTCTTATATTCTTCTATGCCATATTCTCAGTACTTACTTCCTCTTGTAGTGTGAGGGAGTTGAATAATTTAACTTTATGAGCAGGAGGTCAGGTTACAGTCAAGCTATTTGCTTTTTCATAGTACTAGTGATATCTGTAGTGCACTGCAAATAAGGTTTCCATTAGTGTACAGTTAAGAGATGTGTGTTAAAAGACCACATGTCATGTATTGATAAATTACAATAAAAAATAAATATATGGTGATAATTAGTAGGAAATAAGTTTCAGTTTCTGTATCTGAAAAATTAATATTTATAGAATGTGCCTGATGAAGAGATTTGTGCAGGTTCTAGAGTTTTCTAACCATAATAGAAATTTTATTTTATTATTGTTTCAAAGAAGCAATAGTCACAATGGCCTGGAGGATTTTTCAGTGGTGTGGTAGCCTTTTCAGAAAAGGTGGTAATCCTTCTGACAAGAGATGTATAGTGCTTAGCTGAGCTGGCAGCTGGAGGGTACGTTTCACAGATGTTGAGCTCTCTTAACTTCTAATGTTCCAGGAAAGTCCTGGAAAGGCAGGATTAGTCCTTTTCCCTGGTGTATCTAGCTGGAGGTACAGGAGGAAAGGCTTTTATTAAGGTATCTTTAAGGTAGTTAATGGTGAGAAACGGATTAGACAAAGGCTCATGAAGGTGAGTGAGAATTAGCTTGTCATCTAAAAATAACAGCAGATTTTTAATAGTAGGGACTGGCCATAAGTTTTGACGAGTACTGTTCCTCCTACTGTGATTTAATAACACTGGTTTAAAATGGATAGAATACATTGTACAACTGTGTTTGTAGCAGGTATTTTTAAAATTAAAATAAGTGACTAATGGGAAAGGGGGGCTAATTGTGTTGTGATGACCAGTAAAGGGAATGACAGGCTTGAATATGAAGTGCTCTGGTGACTGCTGGGCAGGATGAGCTCTCTCTGCCAGCAAGGTTTCTGTCTGATCAGGTGTACAGGTACGGTTAATTTATTTCTGATGGATAGGATTACAACTTCTGGCATTTGATCCTGGTAGTGAAGTTAGATCCCTTCAGCAGGGATGAAATTAATCAGGAAGGGAGCTTGATAGTACCTATCAACATAGGCCAGGAATTAAATGAGTTACTTTTATCTATCAGGATGCTTTCTCTGAAGAAAAAGGTTGCATTTTCAGGAAGGTTCTTATTCTTGCGTGTGGCTCAGTAGTTGCCACATGCAGGGCATCTGTGTAAAGTTTTGTCCTTCATGAAAGGTTGGAATAGATTGAGAACCCAGCTGATCTTTACATTACTGTCAGCCATAGATGGTGTACCTGTATTCATGTTAGCAACAAAATGAAGGAAAGGCAATGACTGCTTGTGGTAAATAGAATCATAGAATCATAGAATCGTTTAGGTTGGAAAAGACCTTTAAGATCATCCAGTCCAACCATTAGATCATCCAGTCCAACCATTAATGTAACAGACAAGGTTAGAAAATGTTTGTGTAAGAGGTATAAAACCACAATGCTAAATTGGCACATCCTCCTCTCATTAACATAGTTCATGATAGAAAAAAGGGTGGATTTTTTAGTAAATCTTGTGCCAGTTCCTGAGATGATGTGTTTTCCTGATAGAAGTAGTACTTTTGCCTCAGCAAAAACTCTACAGTAAGTGTTTCTACTCATACCAAAATTCCATCTTTTTTATCCCCTCAGCCTCTCCCCCCATGACTTTGCAGCAGTGTTTCCAGAAGAGATTTGTCCACTATTCTTTGCCTCCATATGAGGACCCTGTGACATGGAGTCATATTATATATGTGTATATACATGTATGTGTATATCTATAAAATCTCCTATATGTAGCTAAAACAATTCTTACTACTCTGTTGTTTGTATTACTATAGATACATGTATGCAGAGGTTTAATTCTGAAGAATGTGTAGACTCAGTCTGCTCCAAGGCACGTGTGAGATTTGTCAAACTAGATTCTGTATGGTTTTGTGTGTTACACAGTTCATGATGGAGTTGATCCTATAAACTGTACTTACTAGAGTGTTTTGATGTCTTGGAGGATCAAATCTATGCAAAAATCTGTGGCTGTGAATACAATATAGACTGAGTATACACAGTGTGAGCATTAACAGTAGAGTATGTGTACATTCCATGTGCATACATATTTGCCTCAATCTTGCAATGAGATCCATGTAGATGAATGCCATATCTGTTGAGTGCCATTTATTCCAATTGGATCTGCATAGAGAAAAAAGATTTTGCGTATATGGGGGACAGAATTGGGGAGGGGAAATTAGGCACATTTTTATTATAGGCATGGCAGAAATTTTCAGCGATGTATGTAATTTGCTATTGGAACAACTTATTTTGGGTGTGGCATATTTTTCATCAGCTGTAGTATTTAAATGAAAAATATTTATCTTCCTTAAAGTAAGTTTCCGCATAATCTCTGTTGTCTTAATGAAAACTTCTTTGTCTTTGCAAACTGCCTGGGTTCGGGTAGTTCTGTTGTCCTAATTGTCTGTTCCCTTTGGCCATTCTAGTTCTAGACTTATGAAACTCTGTTCATGTCACATTAGAATGATTCAACTTGAGTCCCCAGTAGCAGAATCCATAGAGTTTTTGTTAAACTTACAGAGGTTATGATTTGTGCTGGTACTAACATGACACTTTAATAAGACAGATAGGACATCTTGGCTTCACCATAAGCAAATAGGCATCCAAATGATGCTTATATTACTTGTCATGCTTCACAGGAAGAGTTGCATTTTTGCAAGATTGAATTAGTTTCCTCATTTGCAGATGCCATTGTAAGGCTAAAGTACTTCAATATTTACAAGGCAAGACTAGGTCCAAATCTTTCAAGCACAGTTTAATGACCCTGTATGGTACCTAAGACAGGATGCCAATTTGCCAGTCACCCCCCTGCGCACACTCTGCTCAGACAGTTGTGGTTTTCTCTGACTGAGCAGAGGCCACATTCCCTTTCTGGCGTGAGAAAAGCATTTTCTCTCCTACTAGCTAGGCAGAGCCCTTTCTACTTTCCTGGGGACCAGGGAGAACCTGTTTTTCCTTCTCCCCTTCACTAAGTTGAAGCCTTTCCTTTCCTTATCCCTTCTAGGACAACCGAGGGAACAACAGGACTGTGGCTTTGCTCTCCATTTTCCCACTCTTCCTGACGCTAGGCAGGATCTCCTGGTTGCTGCTTGCAAGGCTGCCCTTCAGGATCAGTGGCCATTCGTCAGGGTAGAAAACATTTTCAAAGGGATCTTAAAAGATAGAACTAAATACAAGAAGAAAGGGCTGGTAACACAAAAATAGGTTCATATACATGTTTTCATTACTTAAAGCTTGAATTGATCTATCTTATCCCAGAGAAGGCCCACCTCTCAGTCTCTTTTATTCACATCTGGGATCTTTGCTCCAGTTTCCTGCAGGTAACTCCTTCAGATCCATTTGGGGTGAAGAACCAAGTATGAATCTGGACATATCTCAAAGTAGCATTTTAAATGCTCATTACCGTGTTAGGATTGACAAAGGCAGGATCTGAAGCTCCAGTTTGGTTTTTTCCCTACGAATCACGTCTCCCTATTTAATTGATCCCTTCTAATCAAGTAGCAAACAATGTTGTATAAAACAAGTTCCAGACACATCGTGTATTAAAATATTGCATATAATAAAATCACATGCTTTAGCCAATCATTTGTCAGTGTCAGGAAAGAATATCTGTTCGTAATTCTTTTTTCACCTTCCTCTGAAGCCTCAGAAGTTGTGTATGGCTAGATATCGTCTATGACAAAAAGTCAGTGCTTATTGTGGTACCAGAACCCTGTTCTGGTATCTGGCTGGTGTGTGTTGCTCAAATGCTTGGACTAATACTATTATCGTCCCTAGAGGGATGGAAGGGTTTTTTTGTCAAGTCAGACAGGTAGGACTTTGAAGGTCTTTCCCTTCTTATGCAACACAAAATATGTTTTGTTTTCTGAGTTCAGATGTTCTGAGTTCATCTGATTTAGACAAGTGCTGCCACTGGATCTTTGTCTGTCCTGTTTTCTGCCCTTGGCACACGTTATAGTTTTGTGGGAACTGAAATGTATGTTTTTAAGCAATAATGGCTGCTAAAAGATCAAACTAACTGAGTGATCTATCTAGCCTTAATTTCTATGGTGATTATAAAACCCTATGAAACAGAAGTATATGGTGATGTTATATCACTGTAAAATGATTACAAAGGATTATAAAATTTTGGTTCTTGTAAAGCAGTTACGACTACAGCATAGCGTAAGTATTTGTATTCTATATTTTATAATGTTGTATTAGCACTTTCCTTTAAACCTGTTTTTCATTTAAATTGTGCACCATAAGCAGATTTGAAGCATGACATGCTTTCTTCAAATTAGTACAGAAATGTGTGAGCATATTCACAAAGAAATGCAATGAATGGATTTTTTTTTCCATCAGCTGATCATTCTATCATTTAATTAGCATTAACTGTATATTTGTGCTACAAGACATATTGACATAATTCTCTCTCTTCTTTCTTGTCATGATTATTTAGGAAAAGAAGCCCATCAATATCAAGAGAACAGAACAGAAGATACGACCAAAGGGACGAGAGAGACGAATATTCACAGTATGCTACATCAGACAGTGCGATGCCCAGGTCACCATCAGATTATTCAGATAGGCGGTCGCAGCGTGGGCCTCAGTTATATGAAGAACCTGAACTGGGTGATTATAGAGATGCCAACAGAAGGAGTCGCAGGCGTTCCAAGGAGTATCCGGTAGAAGAGGAGGACACACAAAACAGGGAAGAATATGAAAGGCAGCGGAGGGAAGAAGAATACCAGACACGATACCGAAGTGATCCTAATTTGGCTCGTTACCCAGTCAAGCCACAACCATATGAGGAACAAATGCGTATCCATGCTGAAGTGTCCCGAGCACGTCATGAACGGAGACATAGTGATGTCTCTTTGGCAAATACTGAGTTGGAAGATTCTCGGATGTCTATGCTGAGGATGGAACGACCGTCAAGACAAAGATCAGTGTCTGAGCGCAGGGCTGCCATGGAAAATCAACGTTCATACTCTATGGAAAGAACTCGAGAGGCTCAGGGACCAAGTCCCAATCGTCAGAGGACCACAAATCATAGCCCTCCTACACCTAGGAGGAGTCCAATTCCTCTGGAAAGACCAGACATGAGGCGCTCTGATTCATTAAGGAAACAACACCATTTGGATCCCAATTCTGCCGTACGGAAAACAAAACGCGAAAAGATGGAGACCATGTTACGGAATGATTCACTCAGCTCAGACCAGTCTGAATCTGTCAGACCTCCACCACCAAAGCCCCATAAAACGAAAAAGGGAGGTAAAATGCGCCAGGTTTCATTAAGTAGCTCAGAAGAAGAACTGGCATCCACTCCGGAGTATACGAGTTGTGATGATGTAGAGATTGAAAGTGAAAGTGTTAGTGAAAAAGGTAAGATTTCTAATTTTTTGACTGTTTCAATATATAGAAATGGTTTAGTTTCCATTCCATTGTATGTTTATTTTACCTATTAGAATTGATTGCAACCACATATCTTCAGCCCTTCACAGCTGACTCAAGTTTTTTTCTGATTTTGTGTTTCATTTATTTAGATCTAAATTTAATGATATACGTGGAAAAGAACATCACAGCTACTAGAAGTATTTGGATATGTTAAAGGAAAAACATACCTATTGAAAAACCTGTTAATTAAATCTGCAAAGTGTCTAAAGCTGGGATGTCATATAAGGCCATGGTTTCATGTCCATTAATACCAGATTTGCGTACTACTGGATCACAATGAGTGCATATTTGATCTGGATCAAGTGTGGGGACATGACTGCATTTCTGTTGAATTAAATAGAGCACATGATACAAAGCTTATACCAGTTTCATGCTGGCTGCTGCAGGTTAAAGAGCATCTGATCTGCAAAAAACCCTGTGTGTACAAAGTTAACCCAGTGAAGTTTTTAAACAAATTTAAAATGACTGATGTGGTTTATACCAATGGAGATTTCTTTTTGCTGTGGGGCTATGGTGCTTTTTGGTTTTAGTGCTTTTTAGGATTCATGATGTTGGAATTACTCCATTGTCAGAAAGAAAAGCTAAGATTAGTTGAAATGATTCCCAACCTATCCAAAGGTAATGTATAACTTAAATATGAAAGCATTGGGGACCATCAGTTTAAACTGAATCAAATTAATAATATTAGTTCGCTTACCTTCATGTATGTTGTTGGTGTAAAGTACAATAGTTATAACCTGGTTTCTGTTATTATTCTTATGCTAGTGAACCCTTACTAATTCTCATGAATGGTCATCTGCTGTTGTGGATTTGGATTAGAAAATTTGCTACTATTTGTTATTAATATTGCTATCAAATTGGTTCTGAAGGAAGTAATTAATTAGAGTTAGTGAAATAACTCTGAATTTTCATAAGTCAATAGCAGCAACCATGGTCTGATAAATAAGGACCAAGATAGTGTAGAATGGAAGGAAATTTCACCTGAAGTACATGGTTACATGGACTTACATGAAACAGCTGTGATGAAACCTTGACACCCTTCCTGATGAGTAGAAAAACTTCTATCAACTTCAGGGTGTTCACAATTTTGTTCTTAGTAGCAAACTTGACAAAAATAGACCAAATCAACATATGGGAAGTGGTAACAAAGTGTTTATTTAATGAAATTCAGCATAGGAAACATAGTATACAGAATAATACACAAACAAGATATTTTTTGTACACATAACATACAAAACATACATTTAAAACATACTATACAAACAGTGTTAGATTCTCTGTCATCATAATAATCTGACATAAATTATAGCTTTCACTTAAATAATTTTGCATTTTAACTGTCAAAGAAAACATTATTATTGATAACGATAGTTAATGACAATGTCATGTCTGTGCTAATTTCTGAGGTAGTGAATGAAGCTAAATTGAGCATGTATTTTATACATTAATGAAAAAAGCTTGCAAAATTTTATGGGAAAAAAATGCTTTATGTTTTGTTAATCTTGACTGAAATCTGTAAGCAGTTTGCATGACATATAGAGTGTAGCTGTGTCAGCATGGCCCGGTGATGGCCTGTGGCTGGAACCAGTGTGGAGAACAGCCTTGGCTTTTCACAGAAGAAGAGAGCAACTGCTTGAACTGGGGAAGAGGTGTATGTAACTGCTTCTGACTGTGCCTGCTTCCAGCCTGAGTTGGAGGGTCCTGTTTCTGCCCTTGCTGATGAGTTGAGAGGCGGTGACCATGCATGGAACAGGCAGCCATCCCAGCAGAAACACCTCTACCTGGAGCCAGAGCTAGTTGGTGCCAGCCTCAGCAGCCCTGGTCATGTTATCAGATGATATCCTCAGCCCCATTTGTACTTCTCCCCCACTCTTTAACCCCTGGAACAGAAGCTCCAGAAAAGTGTTTGAGTGAATTTGGGAAGATTTGGCTTCTGCTAGGCATGAGGGAAGAGAGGAGAGATCTGCTAGGATGAAGAGGAAGAGGGGGTCTCACCACCTGGATCAAGCCTTCACAGCTGCTATAGGTAGACCCACAAAGTTCTACCTCATTCTTTTTATTTTCATGAATCTCTCTTACCATGTAAACCAGCCTGCACTCAGAGTCCCTATAAGCAAGTGATTTCTTCATGAATACCACCAAAAGGAATCCAGTACATAAACCCAGCAGTCTGCCTTGTATTGCAATACATTATTTCCTTAACTGATAAAATACAATTAATGATTTTAAACACCCTTTATAAAAATGGGTTTCTCCTTTCTCCTCCCCCCAAATTACTCACTTTCTGCCCTTCAGAAACTCCCCAGGCCTGAGGATTTCTCAGCTGTCCATTTAAGCCACGTACAAAGTCTGTTTGGCCAAAGATATAATGCTAAATATAAAACATTTGGCCTTGGAGTGATGAAGGGTGGCAATGTTAGAGTGAGAATTTGGATGCAGTAATAATGAGTTCTCCAAAAGAGGAGAATAATTTATTCATCCCCTTCTCTATGGAGTACCCATATCTTTTCACAGATTCTGCAAATATATATTAACAACTGCTCAGCTGTGAGGAGCAGCCTGGGCCTGAGCTGCAGGAGCAGCTGTTCACTGATTACATCTGAGATTTTGCAAGGCCCTGACATTGTTTTTGACAAAACTAGTCTGAAAATTGTGAATTATCTGAAAATGTAGGAAAAATTATAGTCATACACTCTTAAAAGGGCTGAAAGTTTGCATTTTTAAGCTTATCTCCAAAATGAAAAGCATTAATACATATATATGGTTGTAACATGTATATGCATACAAAATGAAGATAGCCATTTCATTTTACAAGTCCAACAGAGACATGGACCAGCTGCTGGATTAAGAGCTCTAGGAAGAGCATCCATTATGACTAAATGCCTCTGACTTTAAGTATTTGGGTCTGATCTAATTTCAGTAGCTGTCTGCATTAAGGTAATTTTTTCCTTGATTTTTGAAAATGTAATCTGATTGTTTTCAGGGAGTGGAAAAGGCAAAATTATTTTTCTGCATGTTTCTGGTAATGGCCAGAGAAACCATTGCTTTGGAAAGCTCCTGCTTCCTCTCTATAGGGGACAAGGGAAACCGTGAGCAGAAAAAGCTGATGAACACCCAGACAACACTCAGGCACCCAGTAGACAGCAATATGAAACACTGGCATGGTGAAGAAGCATTATAGATGGAGATTCAACTGCAGAAGAGAAGAGCTAGATTCTTAAGATACTGCACAGTTTTTGTAATGCAGCTATATTTGGACCAGGAGTTTAGGGTCATAAACTAGGCTGAGGACTGACATATTGGAATGGGAATCAGGAGGCTTCAGAAGGATGAGCAGACAAGGGGAAGAAATTTAGGAACTGCAAAACAAAATGTCATTGGGTGGCTGGAAACCAGTGGATTGAGATGGAAAGAAGCTGAAGAAGAGGGGAGAGCAAAGATGGTAGATCAAATAGGCTAAATCTGTGACCTGTAGTTTGGGAAGAACAGATAGAGCGAAGGAAACAGATCTGTTAAAGATAACTGGGAAGGTGAGAACTGGAGCTTCCTGAGCGATAGGGTAGAGGATTCTGAAATTGGCTGAGAAGCAGAAGCAGCAGTTTGGGAGAGATGGTGAGCAGCTGGGAAAAGGGCATTCAGAGAGAAGGACAGGAGGGCTCAGCTGGGCTTGGGATCTTTGGCAAAGAGGGGCTGGGACTCCCTGAGCAAGGGACATGGGCCTGGCAGCATCGACCTGAAGTGCTGAGAAGGGGGTTTGGCGAGGTGAGAAGCTCAGGACTATAGTGAGGAGCCAGTGGTGTGACAGACCAGTTCATTCCTTAAAAGGTCAGGAAACAATGCGTGACAACAGTGTTAAATGGGCATAACTGAGATTATAAACGTTTACCTGAAACTTAGGTTGTGCCAGAATTAGACCTATTTTGCAGATTGAATTTTGTGCAGGTCTTCATACACATTAAAACTGTCCTTAGTGACATAACTGAATACTGATTTACCAGATGGCCTCTGCCTTTTTCTGTGCATAGGATGAACAATTCTTACTTACTGTGCTATTCAAAATTCTCTGAAGCTCCCAAGATTTTTTCCAAGTTATCTAAGGGGCCTTTCTTTACTCTTGCTGTGAGTACCATGCTTCTGAAACTGCAAAGACAGTGTCTCCATTTGCAACACTTGTTGCCAGTCCTGGAGATCAGGGTAGCAGACAGTCCAAGGCTCTATCTCCAAGGCAGGATTCCCTGTCTATGTTAAGAAATACACCTTGCAGATGAAAAAAACCAGAAGGTGACAATATGTTTTGGACCAAAATATTAGGTATATTTCTATTTTCCCTAGTAACAAAAGAACAAAATTGCTTAAAACATTAGAGAAAAAAACAGTTCTTGAAATGCCAGTGCTTTTATGAAATCATAAATTTTAAATGGCAGTAAAATGGATCCTCAGTCAGTAAACAGAAAGATCATAATGACATTTTAAAATGTTCTGGATTTTTCAGTTCACCAATTCTTTCTCAAAACCATCTCAGTTTACTTGGTTCAGTTTCAAGGCTCTGAGAAACATGGTTTATGAAGTAAGAATGGTTGTGCTGTTAATTGCAGTAAAGTGAACATTGAACCATGTCGCCTACAAAGCCTCAAATGAAGCTATGTTTTTTTGTGGTGTTAGGCCAAGCTGTCTCCATTGCTTGTCCAATTTAAGTGTCTTCTATTGTGAGGGAGTAATAAAGTATTTTTTTACTTGCATTTTCAGTTAGATGTTTGTCAGTGCAATTGTAAGGAATAGGCCTTAAGGCAGGTTTGAAAGGGCCCCCATAATTTGTCAGCCAGCATGAAGCAGATGTGAAGCAGAGTGCTATAGGCTTGTTCTGTATGGCTACAGGCTGTCCAGGGAGAGTTAGAAAACCAAACAGTACCACTGCCCATATATTCCTT